AGGTTAGGAAGTGGTCGATGGCCCACTTCCCGTAAAACCTAGCCATGGGAGACGACAGGTTTACGGGTTATATTCTCAATGCTCGATTGGCATAGAGCACGAAGGCCACGCATTGTTTCTGACGGTGCGAGGGCACCTCCGGGTGTTCACTTGTTTGCTACTGCCCGCCTCAAGCCAGGCAGCCCCTGGTCAAATTGGTGCAAACCCGCCAAAATCCCACCTGCGTCTGGCCGTGGTCGCAGGTGCGTATCCTACTACGGTCGCAAAACATATGATAATTGTTCCAGAACCTCAAAGGCTGCGTGTGACGACCGTCAAGCAGATCCCAATCTGTCTCTGCAATCACATTCTCGAGCTGAATCTGCTCTCCACTGCCTTGTGGGTCAGGCTATTGAGCCAAAGGCTCCGGGTGGAGTCCCTCAAGCAAACCTCCGAAGCACAACGACCACCTCGCGTGCGATTGCCCACCAATGCAATCGTATGCCTGCGCGCAAAGCACTCAGCATCGGGTGCTGGAACGTACGCACACTACTGGACCGGAACTAGAGCGAGCGCCCGGAGCGACGCACTGCACTGGTCGCAATGGAGCTGGCGCGCTACCACATCGATATTGCGGCGCTCAGTGAAACTCGGCTCGCTGAGCAAGGTAAGTTACATGAAGCAGGTGCTGGCTACACATTCTACTGGGTGGGCAACGCCGCCTCTGCACCACGTGAACATGGGGTCGGATTTGCAATATCCTATCGCCTGAATGGCCAGCTGGTGGGTGAACCAACGGGCATCAGCGCGCGACTGATGGCTGTTCGCCTACGACTCGGAAGAGGTAAGTTTGCTACTTTTATAAGCACGTACGGTCCGACCATGTGTTATCCTGATGACACGCGTGATCAGTTCTACACTGAGCTATCCTCCGTGATACGGTCTGTGCCGAGGAGCGACCGACTATTTCTGCCGGGTGATTTCAACTCTCGCGTTGGGCGTGATGCATCAGCGTGGACAGATGTTATCGGTTCGCATGGCATTGGTTCAGCGAATGCGAACGGTGACAGGCTGCTCTCACTGTGTGCCACTCACGGCCTGACGATCACGAACAATCGGTTTGCACTGAGTGCGAGTGATAAAGCAACTTGGACGCACCCACGGAGTGGTCACGCTCACCTGCTCGACTATGTCATCGTACGTCAGCGTGATATGCGTGAAGTGCGCATGACACGTGTACTGCGTGGAGCTGAGTGTGGCACTGATCACAAATTGGTTCGGACCAAACTGTACATATATTTTCGTAAATCTATGTATTGTACTCCCGCCGTGAATCGGCGTAAATTTAACATTCTCTCCCTCGGTACTGTGGCGAAACGTACTGAGCTGGAGAAGGCGATGGCTGCACGCCTGTGTGGTGATGTGGACTGTATAGCCACAGTGGGCGACCTGTGGCACCACATTCGCGACCAGGTGACAGCTGCTGTCGAGGAGACCATCGGGCGCGCAAACTGTAAGCGGCCTGATTGGTTTGATGACAACAATGTGACGATTGACGCATTGGTGTCAGAGAAGAATGCAGCATTTGCTGCACATATGGCAGACCCCAGTGACTTGGGGAAGAAGAGTCAGTTTCGCAAACTTCGACGGCGACTGACCCGAGAGCTCCGTCGCATTAAAAATGCATGGTGGACGGAGAAGGCGAAGCAGATGGAATGCTACGCCGAACGCCGTCAACACAAGGAATTCTTTGACTCCTTGAAGGCGGTGTATGGACCGAGATTGGAGCCGCTGAGGACACTGATCGATGGTAGTTCAGGCGCTACCTGCACCCAGACTGCAGACATAATGCAGGTCTGGCGGAAACACTTTGACTGTCTCTTGAACAACCGTTCAGAGATCGACTGGCCTACATTGAACGGCCTGAAGCAGCACGATGTGAAGGCGGATCTGGCGGATACGCCGACACTGGATGAGACGCAGAGAGCACTTGCTCAGCTGCGAAACGGCAAATGTGCCGGGGTGACGGGATCCCACCTGAAGTATTGAAACACGGTGGACCCGCGTTGTTGACTGCGCTGCACCACTTGGTGCAACGCGTGTGGATTGAGGAGGAGGTGCCTGCTGAGCTGAAGGATGCCCTTGTGCTACCACTGTACAAGGGCAAAGGTAGCAAGCAATGTTGCACGAATTATCGTGGCATCAACTTGCTGAGTTGTGTGGGCAAGGTGATTGCCCGAATCCTGCTCAATCGCCTCGTGAGTCAGATTGTGGAACCAAACGTGGCGGAAGAGCAATGTGGATTCCGTTCGGGTCGCAGCACTATAGATATGGTGTTTGCGGCTCGTCAGTTGCAAGAGAAGTGCAGAGAACGACACCAGCCATTGTACTCGCTTTTTGTTGATTTCACCAAGGCATTTGATACGGTGAACCGCGAGGCACTGTGGCTGGTGTTGGGTAAGTTTGGTTGCCCGCGTAAGTTTGTAAGTTTAATTGAATGTCTGCACAGTGGTATGCGAGCGAGGGTGCAGCTGAGTGGAGAGACCTCGGATGACTTTACAGTTGTCTCTGGTGTGAAGCAAGGCTGTGTCTTAGCTCCTGCCCTGTTTAATATCTATCTTCATGCAATGTTGTCTTGTGCTTTTGATGCCGCTTGTGCTTACGGTGTTCGTGTGGAGCACCGTATTGATGGTGGGTTGCTGAACATCCGTCGTTTCGGTGCGAGAACTCTAGTCTGTGAGACAACTATCCGTATGTTGCTGTTTGCTGACGACTGTGCGTTGTTTTCACACAGCGCGGATGAGTTGCAGCACATGACTAGTGCTCTGGCTTCGACAGCGGCCAAATTCGGGCTCACCATCAACACAAGCAAAACTGTCTGTCTCTTTCAGCCTTCGCCGGAGGTGCAATCTTCAATATTGCCGCAAATCAGCATTGGTGCTGAAGTATTGGAAACCACCTTCCGCTTCTGCTACCTTGGGAGTGTGATGTCGACTGATCAGCAGCTACACGTTGAGTTGCGTAATCGCGTGTCGAAGGCGGCAGCGGCATTCGGGAAGCTTGAGTACCGAGTGTGGAACAACCATCAGCTTAGCATTGGCACGAAGCTGATGGTGTACAAATCCATGGTACTGTCCGTTCTTCTATACGGCAGTGAAACGTGGACGATGTACCGTCGGGATGTGCGATATCTCGAGCGGTTCCATCAGCAGTGTCTGCGACGAATTTTGCGGATCGGTTGGGGCGCCAGAGTTGCAGACACGGAAGTGTTGCGCCGAAGTGGGATGTATGCAGTGGACTGCATACTTTTACTGCGACACCTGAGATGGCTCGGTCATGTGAGCCGTATGGATTCGACGCGGATACCGAAACAACTTTTATACGGTCAGCTGAGTATAGGGAAGCGGCACGTGGGGAAACCAAAGTTACGTTACCAGGACATGATTAAAGTGAGCCTCACACGTTCTAATCTTGATTGCAGATCATGGGAATCGAAGGCGGTTGATCGTGGTGCATGGCGCGATCTAATCACGAAGGCAGTTGCTGAAGTGCGGGAGAAAGCCCTCATGCATGCAGAGAAGAAGCGGCAAGTGCGGAAGCGGCAAGCACCAATGAATTGTACTCCATCGACATCGAGCGCATGGTGCTGTAGAACATGCGGTCGCGAGTGCCTTAGTCAGGCAGGCCTAGTGAGCCATGAGAGAGGTCACTCGGGACCACTGCCGAAGCGACGACGGGTCCCGCAGTGAACGTAGGCAGCACCGGCGCAGCGTTTGTAGGCACGCTGAATTCGATTTACTAACCGCATGCTTGCATGCTAAGTCTCTTTATTTCAGGTGGTGGGTTTTCGGTTCTCTCCTAATGCCTTTCTTTCTCATATAAATGTCTAGTGGGCCATGAGCTGTGCCATTTGGGGCCACTACAGAAGCGACGACGGGTCCTGCAGAGAATTACGGCGAGCCGGCGCAGCGTTTGTAGGCACGCTGAATTCGATTTACTAACCGCGTGCTTGCATGCTAAGTCTCTTTATTTCAGGTGGTGGGTTTACAGTTTTTACCTTAATGCTTTTCTTTCTCATATAAATATCTCCCTGTACTCTATTCCATTAACTTGCACACATCGCTTCAGCCAATTGTATTCGATTTCCATAACATTTTTGTGTTCGTGGCATTCCGTGAACTATACTTCCTGACCTCGTGCACTTAGCTAGGATCTGTTTGTAAACAACTTATTACATATGCTATTTACTTAAGGTTTATATCACCGTTTCCTTATGCATTAATCGAGTTTTTCTCTTTTTCTTTCTCTCTCTCTCAAGTGTTTGGCTGTTGTTTGATATCCCCGGTGTGGCTGCGCTTGATGTGCATGTTGACAAGGTGCCTACCTGTCTATTACCCACTACCTCGTCCATACTGGCTCCAGGAGACAGTTGGTCGTTGCTGGAGGGGACGGGGTGCACGGTCCTTGTGGCCGTGTTAGGCTCGAAGAGTGGTTCCATGCACTCAGTGTGGAGCGGACTACGGTCCAGCCACCGCCTTGTGTGCGCTTGATTCCCAAATACAGTGTGCTTGTGTTTGCCTGTGAAGGAGTGTGGGCCGGCTCCGTTGATGAAACGTGGTTCCCATCCGCATGCCTCCCGGTCTTATTCCTTCGGGTTTACACTGGATATGGGGTGTGTGGTTGGAGCTGTGGGTGGTGCAGCGCAAGCCATCCATGGTCCCTCTGTAGGCGCAGGCGTCCTGTGGCTTGCCACAGTGACAGGCAAATCCGAAACCGGATGCCGCCAACAATTTATGGAACTGGTAAACTGCATAACGTACTTGCTGATTTCCAAATTGGAGGACGACCATTAGCATAGAGGAACTGCAATATCATTTTCATTGCTTACTGCATTGCAGGTAGCTGCTGCCGCTATCCCGAAGTCATCCCCATTAACAGCGTTTCCTCAGTCATCTAAATTGATGATTCACTTATAAAGAAGAATTGGATGTATTGGATGGGTACCTGGTTTACAGCTTGTCATGCATAAACATCAGAACAACCTGGACCATAAAGGGGGGGGGGGGGGGGATAAAGGGGGGGGGGGGGGGGGGGGGGGGGGAATATATTGTGTTTTAGTGGGGGGGGGGGGGGGGGGAGTGGAAATAATATATATGGGGTGATAATAATAATATATATATTATATTTATTATATATTAATATATATATATATTTATTATATAATAATATATATAGGGGGGGGGGGGGATTATTATATTTTGTGTGTGTGTGAATTGGGGGGGGGGGTGGGGGGGGTTTTTGGGGGGTGGGTTTTGGGGGTTTTTTTTTGTTTTTTTTTTTTTTTTTTTTTTTTTTTTTTTTGTTTTTGTGTGTGTGGGGGGGGGGGGGGGGGGGGGGGGGGGGGGGGGGGGTTTTTGGGTTTGGGGGTGGGGGTTGTGGGGGGGGGGGGGGGGGGGGGGGGGGGGGGGGGGGGGGGGGGGGGGGGGGGGGGGGGGGGGGGGGGGGGGGGGGGGGGGGGGGGGGGTGGGGGGGGGGGGGGGGGGGGGGGGGGGGGGGGGGGGGGGGGGGGGGGGGGGGGGGGGGGGGGGGGGGGGGGGGGTGGGGGGTGTGGGGGGGGGGGGGGTGGGGGGGGGTGGGGGGGTGGGGGGTGGGGGGGGGTGGGGGGATGTGAGATGGTTGGTGTGGGGGGGGGGAGTTTGGTGGGGGGAATGGGATTATTATGTTTTTGGATGATAGGGATGGGTGGTAATTTTAGGTGTGTAGGGGAAGATGTGAAGAATATGAGGGTTGGGGGGGGATTGGTAGAATGGGAAGTGTAGGTGGATGGGGGATAGGTGGGGGGAAGGGGGTTTATGAGGAAGGATTTGGGGGGGGGGGGTTTAAAAGGGGGTAAGTACGTGGGGAATGGGGATGGGTGGTATGGAGGGTGGGAGTTGTTGTTAATTATAGTGGGAGGTTATGAGAGTGATCGAGGAGGTTGACGAGTCACAATTGATGGTGGTTAGTGAGTTATTAAGCGTGTGCAATGTTGATATGGTCAGCTGAGAATGTTAGGGGATCAGGTGTTCTGACACGAACATTGCACATTGTAACTGCGTAGGGTATGCCAAATGATGGGAGCACTCTAATGAGTTCATACAGGGTACCTTGGGTCACCCGGCCCCCGTTCGTATAATCAAAATCAACTAGTATTTTAATAGTCAAAACCCCAGCCCTTATCCTGAGAATTCTCAAAGAAACACTCCATGATGGAGTTCGTAACTTAGCTAAAAAGTGGAGAAATTAGGCAGCCTCGAAGATGGCCGCTTGTTTTTGGAATGAAATGCAACAACTAACCGTAGGCCTTGAGACTGCCTGTGATTTTCGAGAAATACGCACGTTAATTGGTCACATTTTTCATCAAAACATCTATCCGCGCAAGTATTTCAAGTGAAATGGATTGATCGATTGAGGCAAACGTAACCTTAAAGTTCTCGGAAACGGTTCTTGTCGGGCTATGTTAAGTATGATGCTGTTTTACAGATGTCAGGGAGTGAATGTGTAGTCTATACTTCCTTGTCGTGTGCAAAGAACAATCTGCTGTTCCCTATTCTGCGATTTCCGTTGTGTATTGGGGCAGCGAACGAGAATTGAGGGCATGAGAAATCAATTAACCAACCATGACTCCTCCTTGGATTTGAGAACGAGGTAAACCCCAGGTTGACCGGTGATTGCCGCCTGATTCTCCGGACACGTGCAACCAAGAGCGAGAAGACAAGCCGGACACATTTAGTAAAACAAGCACATGAGAGATATTGATTATAGTTTCAAGTATACAAAACACTTTGTAATGCGCGTGCGAATGCAGCATACAGTTTTATTCGCTTTACAGTACGAAGGTTGAACCCCTACAGTGCAAAAGGGCAGGATGGTATTGTAGGGGCTAATTCTGATAGAAGTACTATGAATGTTTTACTTACCATTCAGTTCAAGAACGAGCATTATGCAACAAGAAGGATGCGTGGAGGCTCATTTGGAGAAAACCTTGTGTGATTAGTTTGCGACGCGCAGTCTCAATGTGGACCGCGATTCACATTGCAGTGAACCTTGGTTAGTGAGATCGCTAGAACCGTAGCCGAAGTAGATTGCAATTGGGTGTTGCCCGCCCGAAAGCGCTGCACATCCAGGACGAGCACTGATATCATTTTACCTCATCCGGTGGAGATGGCTGGTCATGAACTCGAGACAAATAACGCAACGTGTGCTCCAAATAACCCTACGTTTAGTCGTTAACTGTTGTGCGGAGTGCTGCCGGTCGTGACCCGGTAGTCAAAGAGGTACAGGTTTCAGCTACCATTCCATTGGTCGCGGGTTCGATGCCTTCTATCTCCACTTGATGAGAAAGTGATATAGAAAAGCGTCGTGGATGCGCAGTTTTTTGGGGGCTGGTAACACCCAATTTCCACCTGTTTCGGCTACGGTCCAAGTGATCGCATTAATCAAGGTGCACTTCAATGTGAATCGTAGTCCACATTGAGACTGTGCTTCAAAATCCAATCACACAACTTGGATGCCAGAAGGGTGCTTATTTTAACTGTTACGTAGATGCCTTCAATACATTAAAATAACAAAGTTTATAACGGTGAATTTACTCCTATTTCAATAAGTGCCATAGGCAGCAATATTTTTACTAACCAAACTTGCCTGTATACTACACAACAACTACGGTCTAATCACACGAAAATGAACGCCATACATGGTGGTACTGATGTGTGATAAGCTCTTGTAGAACATAAATGTATCTGTACTTTTCTCTGGTCACGAAAGTTGTTGTCATGTATAGGGTTTAATGATTACTAACATGGCGACTGCAAAGTCAAATCGATTTACAGGGAAGCTTTTATTTGTACAGTAAATGGCTCTCTTTTTGTTTAGCCATAATATGGTCACCGTTAAATTTGCTAAGTAGAGGAAACAAAAATGTGGAACACACAAGTGGTCGCGCGTTGCATACCAATGTACATATCTCCTTAGTGTACAATGAACGAATAAATTTTCCTAGAATTTTACGCACGCAAACTGGGGAAAGGTCAAGACTGCTAGGAGGATGGCTTCCGACATTAAGTCGTTTTTGAAACAATCCTTTGCAATAACTTGTATGTGTAGATACAAGAAGGTCATCGAAGGTCGGCTTTGGAATGCCACTACATCGAGACAGGTGCGTCAATGAGCTAACTAGCAATTTGAAGTGTTTCCTTAGAAAACCGGGAAATGTCACAAAGTAACAATAGGCCATAGGGTACGGTGTAAACCGTACTAAGTATCAGTCGTAATTACTTGGGGACGGGGAGGATCGCAAACTAGCAAGGTAGCAATAAAACCTCCTTGCCTTTGTGAACACTTCGTCTACATGGAGTGCCAAGAAAGATCAGGCCTGAATGTGACACTCAGATACTTCCCTGACACGGTTGAGAGCAACAGACCAGCAAATTTGTGTAGTTCAGGGTAATCCATGAGAACTTGTTGGTAAGGCCTGCTTTTATTTAAAAAACGAATGCCACTGATTTTAATGTATTCAGTGATAAAAAAGGAGCTCTGGACCAGGATTTAAATCAAATGGTGTGGTAATATCCTTGTCACAAAAAATGAGGTTCAATTTTTCCACATCAAAAGTTGAATGCTTGACCTCGGGACAGGCTCCGCGTAACCGTTTCAGCATTTTTCATATTTCAAGATAGTTGTTGTCGCCAATTATAACTCGAACATAGATATTGTTAAGATGACTCAAGTTGATTGTTGGATCGATTGATAGATGCTTTACTAGCCTTTCCCTAATCATACGCATTGATTTGAGACGGTGAAACGAGAGCCCATCGGCCAAGAAAAAGGTAGATTTGTTTCATCGCAATTAGATTCCAAGCGGCATAGGTAAGCTATCAATCCGGAGAAACACCAGGCGCGCGTTTCGCCCTAATGGGGCTCGTCAGTGGTGCGCATCCATAAGTCCCCTACTGGGGATCGGACCCGTGACCACTAGAGGCTAACGCTAACTAGCCAGCAGCTTATGCCAATGAATCATGGGGGGAGACCTGACCGTGAAAGCCAATAACTGTCCTCTGCATGGCAGTGGAGAATGGGTCGGGCCATATCGCAGTTAGGTTTCAATTCGTTCTTGTTGGCCGTCGTCCCTTATGGCTCAGTGGAATAAGCTGCTGGCTAGTTAGCGTTAGCCTCTAGCGGTCATGCGTTCGATCCCAGTAAGGGACCGATGGATCCATACCACACACGAGCCTCAATAGGACGAAACGAACATCTGGTGCTTTGCCGGATTGGTAGCTTACCTATGCGATATGGAATCTAATTGCGATGAACCAAACCAAATACCCAAATCCGGCTACTCATTAGTAAACAGATAAAAGTTGATTGCTTTGGACAACAGCTGACCAACCAGAAGTTTAGAATCAGTTTAGCTAGTCACAGAGTTTGATACTTCCAGGTAGTAAAAGAAACTAAAGTATGTAAAAGCAATTCTTTCACTCAGTCGCTGAATGTTCTGCGAAAGACATTGTCACCGCATGAACTTATGATCTTTTCCACGGCTGACACCTTTATGATTCGTCTTACTATAGATAAGTGAAAAAGTCTTTACGATAAAATTATCAGAGCTTCAACAGTTCCTCGAGTACAGACAGAAAAGACATTTAGGTTGCTAAGAAATACCAGGCCAGGGTTGTACATAAGCTAGTTGGAAATTTTATTTTGTTCTTTAGAACAAGTTACTCAATGAATTCGTGTCAGATCTGTTATACTCGTAGGCAACGATGCACAAAGAGTGTCTAGATATTCGATGACCACAGCTGTAAATCCGCCGCAGAATGATTTTCCGTCGTAGTTTAGACAGCTTGGTAAGACAAAATTTAGCCAACAAACTCGAGCGAAAACCATTCAAGAGGCTGGGATTGCAATTCACTACGAAACAGCAGATGCGTTGGGAACTGCAGTGAAAAATGTCTTTAACCGACGAATAACATGAGGAAATACCGCAAGTGATTGCACAACCAAAGTTGTACTTCAGCGCACAATGACGGTCAACAAAGAAAAAGCCAAAGTCTTAATGTTCCACAACTATATCTTCAACATCAAAGAGACACCAGGTTTCTGCTCAGCCTAATGAAGGCAAAGCCAGTATATTCACGAGAGTTGGAAATTGAGGTATAAAATCATCAAAATTTTAAAGGCGTTAGCCGTTCAGCTTTTGCAAATTATCGTCCAGTTTATCTCCTCCCTGTGCTCGCAAACTTGAGGCACGCAGTCGTCACTAAGCCAATAATGGACCACCTGGAAAAATGCAACATATTAGCACCGAAGCAGAGTGGCTACCGTCAACACCGGACATGCACCACCAACCTGTTGCATGGAAGGAAGTGCCTGATGAAGAGGTCGGAGTTGCGGTCATCTCACTGAACTTCTCCAAAGTCTTACACAGTTTGGATCGCCACGTAGTACTACACTGGCTACAGAGCTACGGATTCGGAGATCCTGTTCTTGGTTGCATTGGCAAATTTCTTCACCAACAGGAGCTTCAAATACTCGTTAGCAGATCACTCTCTAACCTGATTCTGATGGAGTGTGGCGTCCCATAGGGATAAGTGCTAAGACTGCGCTTATTCCTCGTGTTTATCAACTACTCGGTGAGGGTTGTCTCCTTAAATTTCTTGCTTTTCGCCGATGATGTCAAGCTATGGTGGGCGATT